TTATATATAGAGCCCTAGGTTTTGTTATAGAGATTTAGGAAACTCTCCTTGCCAACAAACAATAGTCCCCAAAATTCACCAAAAGAGTTAACACAATAAACATCATAAGCCTTCTATGTATACTCAGTCATTAACAAGCTGATGTGGCTGTTGGTAATGAACTCTTAACAAGCACCTGAAATGTTGGCAAGCCTAATTTTCCGAGTACCCTTTGAAAACTTTCTAGAGCAGATTACTAACAATGATAATGACACTAATGTGGACTATCAAAGAAGGGTTTATTTAAAAGAAAGATAGTGTAGGAAGAATGAATGTAGAGAAAGCAAAAACCTGGCCTTTCTTCTTCTTGACTTCAACACTAACAAGGCCCTTTCTCTCAGAACCTTGAACCGGGAATAGGAGAAAGCAGCGCTTGCTTCTTATTGTTGGCTTAAACTTTTTGAATGTTATGCCACCACCTGACATCACATAAGCACGCAAATCCGATCCTGCCAGAGGAGCACCCATAACTTCTAGAATATCAGCCGCTGTATTGAGCTTCCTCATGGTAATCCTATAAACTCTATCGGGATTTATCGTGAACCTTGCGCGAAGGTATAAACCCTGTTAATTGAAAAAATGTAGATAGTGGAATAAGCAGTGACACTTTATAAAAGAAGAGAACAAGAATGTTATCACAACAAAACAAACCAAAGTTTACAACAGTATTGCAATTCTTGATCAAATGTCCATCACTGAAACAATCCTAACTTGTATCTCAAAGATAAACATAGAAAATAGCTCAACACTTACAGCAAATGCGACAATGGCAGAGGAGAGAGCAAGGAAACCGTACTTAGCCATTCCTTCAGAGAGACCAACGAATGTACTAGCAATCCCAAACATGATCCTCCACAAGAAAATACATACAAAAACAGCTCCTGCTCCAAACACCACAAGGTTATTCTTCTTCCAAAATGCGTCAACCTGCAACCCCAAAGCCACTCGGTATCTACCAAAAGTCGAACTAACAGCTTTGATTGGCTTATCAACAACTTTCCTAGCGAAACTCCCATCGATTTTACGAAACCCAGAGCTCGAAAACAATCTAAAAGCCGATGCAAAGTTCATATCAACACGGGGCTTAACCAAAACTTTGCCGCAATTCTGCAAACCAGAAACGAGGTTAGGGCGTGATAGAATCTGAGACAAGCCAACGTTTTGCGAAGTGGGTCTCGACGAAAAGGTGTGGAAACTGGACTTAGGCTGAAACTGAGAAAACCCATTAAAAGGAAGAGCCGGAGAAGACGAAGCGTAGAGTTTTGACCGGCCAGTTACGACCGGATTGACTCGACTGTAATGCGAACGAATAAGCCTGTGAACAGCTTTGAAATCAGAAAGTTTCACCATTTTTTCTAGGGTTTTAGATCGACTGTAGAAAAGACCCAAAAGCAAGTCACTCGGAGTCAAAGACAATAGACTTTTCCGTTCACCGGAGCTACGAGAGCGATTTGGTTATTAGATAGTGACCGACCGAATTGCAGAAACAG